CCCCCCCTTCAGCTTCCCACTGGAAGGAAGTTGGATAATTTGCAATTTAATTTTTCTCATGGGTGTTACAGATGTTGTGAACTGTGGGTTCTGACATCTTCAGCTCTCTCCTGTGTCTGATCCAGGCTCTCAGAGGAGGCATGTAAATTCTCCTTTTTAACTCGCCAATCATGCTGAAGAGAGGCTCAATCACTTTTCTTCTGCTCTTTGCCCCCCCATTATTTTTAAATAAACTGTACCTTATTTCCATGAAATTTCTTCTCTCAGATCAGTCGGTGTGGCCCTCCAAAGAAGCAGGAGGGAAGGAGGAAGGTCCTTTTGAACAGCCAGCTCCAAGCTGCCTGGATAAATACCGTTTTTAGTTTCGGTTGCTATTTCAGCGAGACCACCTCTCATGAAAGCATTTGCACACTGGAAAGTGTACCCCTCGAGCACTTTTCTGAATAGACTGTTTCATAGGAAGAGAAATCAAAAGCAAATTGTTTTGCTTTGATAACTTGTTAAGTTGTGCAGTTCAGGATAAGGACTACGTGACGTAGATTAGCAAACGATCGCAAAATGTCATTGCTGTGGTGCCTCGTATCCTGTGAAGTGTATTAGTCAATAGATGAAACATAATCCCTTCAATAAGAAGCACCAAAATGTTTAACTGTGTGGGGGTGTTTTTCGGGTTTTTTTGTTTTGGGTTTTTTTTTTTTAATAATCCAGTCTGGTAGCAGATTTTAATGAACTAATACATCTAAGCAGCTTCAACAAGCTTATTTAGTTTGGGTACAAAAGCAGGAATTTGTTAATGCCTTCTATAAAATTGATTTCAAAGATGTTATTTTTCAATCCAGTTGTTTAAATCATATAGTGGCTGTCAACAGATTTATTTTAGCCTTGAAAAAGCCTCCTCTTCAGCTATGCTTAATATTTCCACATTCCCTTTTAGAATGTTACTTTTTTCTTTTCAGTATAGTTGCTGAATAGTTACTTTGTTGCGAACTTGTTGTCTCATTACCAAAATTAATTTTCAGTTGGGTTTTAAAAAGCACTAGCACAAGCAGAAGTGTGTCAGTGCAATTTGTGCTTTTACTTACAAAATGGATGTTGGTTGGATATTGATAGCAACATTCCAGTACTGATACAATAACACAGTCAAGTGTTTTCCTGTTAAAATTCATCTTGTGTAGGCAGGTTTCAAGGTATAATTGTCTAATTTCTAGTGAAATTCAGTGGATTTTTATTGCGATAAACTAATCTGAAAATCTGATTGAGGGAGGGATGAAGTAATTTGTCTAATATCACATAAATATCCCAGTGTTGGTTTTTAAACATAAAACGTTTTCTTCGGGTTGTAAAGGGAGCTCAGACATCCTCTTGGAACTATCTTTAACGTTTTCATTATACCAGGTTACCTGTGAATTGGGGAAAATACCAATTCCTCTCCTCCATTGGTTTTAGCAAGCTTTGCAATTTTCCTAAAGGTGAATACCTAATTTTACCTGCAAAATGCTAGTGGACTCTAAAAGTTTCATGAGTGTCTTAAGCCAATTTAAGACCTCCTTGTTACGGGATCAGGCTGCCAGGAGGGCTGGATATTCTACAGAGAGTACTCATGTTGTCTGCCAAAGCCGCAGTGGCACATACTTGCAGGAACAGCCAAAATAGACACAGTGGAGAAATTTTGTGAGCATTTGGCTGGGTTCCCCAGCTTCTTGTTCTTTCCATTTCTTTCTTCCCCTTTCTCTAGCCTTCCCTCTTTGGATATATATAATAATCCACTCTCGAGAGGATCTGTAAATACCAGAAATTGCCAAGTTCTTACACCCTTCGTTATGTGTCTTCAGTCCCACAGCCACCTCTTCTGGCTGTTGCACGTGGGAGAAGTGCCCTGTTAGCTGAAGTGACAGAGAACTGGGTCCAGTTAGAAGCCCATTATAAGCCTAAGGAAAGGAGTAAGCTGGACTCATTTATGTTAATCATCTCTGCATATTTGTGTGATCTTAGCCACTGTTCTCCACCGGATTGTAACTGTGGAGGTTTTCTTTATTTTATTCCCACTGTTCTTCCCATTCCACAGAGAACAAAGGCCTCAGATGGTGGCCTGATATGTCACCCCAAAGTCTAGGTGTTTAAATGCAGGGGGGTATTGGGTTTTTTCCTTGGAAAATTCAAACATGGGGTTTTTTTCCCCCATGATGTAGTTCGTGTATAAACCACTGGCTGTACTCATCTCCACCTGCGTGCTATGCCTACGTTATCTTGAGCTAGGTGTCAATCTGGCTGCCTTGGTAT